AGATGGGGAAATAATTGGAAGAGTAAAAGCGAGAAAAACTTGTAGGTTAAGATAAATACAGTTTAATAAGTGAAGGGGGAGGGGGCAGCAGACGGACAGGTGATGCGAAGTCAATCACTCACCACCTCCCAAAAGCAGACTGATTGTCCATCCAGTTTCTGAGCAATGGCTACTGTGGAAAGACTACCCCCCCATTTTTATTGCTGATCATGACTGGCTGAACAACCCCAACTCTCTCAGCCTTTCTTCGTAGGAGAGGTGTTCCATCCCTCTGATCATTTTGGTGGCCCTCCTCTGGACCTGCTCCACCAGGTCCATGTCTTTCCTGCACCAAGGGCTCCAGAGCTGGACGCAAGACTGCAGGTGGGGCCTCACCAGAGCGGAGCAGAGGGGCAGAATCCCCTCCCTCGCCCTGCTGGCCACGCTGCTTTTGATGCAGCCCGGGATACAGTTGGCTTTCTGGGCTGCGAGCGCACATTGCCAGCTCACGTCCAGCTTTTCATCCACCAGTACCCCCAAGTCCTTCTGGGCAGGGCTGCTCTCCATCCCTTCATCCCCCAGCCTGTATCGATACCAGGGGTTGCCCCGACCCAGGTGCAGGACCCTGCACTTGGCCTTGTTGAACCTCATGAGGTTCACACGGGCCCATTCCTCCAGCTTGTCCAGGTCCCTCTGGACAAATTATCAGGGAATTTATTAACTTATTTGTATCCCTCATTTCAGTATATCCAAGAGATTTTTTTGATGTTGAATTTTTGCAATGACTTGCCTTTTACTTTAGCAATTTGAAGGAGTGATTGTGAGGAACACTTACATTTTTATTTCCTCCCATGCGTGTAACTTCATTTAAAGTTGTTAGCATTCTTCAAGTAATATATTTTTAAAGTGTCTGTCCTCTAAGAATAACATTAAGGGTTTTCAATATGAGCATTGTCAGCATAAAACAGATACTTGCATCTTGCATTCAGGAATCTAAGGCAATGAACCATAAACAAAAAGAAATTAGACGAAGGTAGGAAAAAACCATTCAAAATCATGAAAATGTGCTGACTGAATTATAGACTGGCAACAAAAAAGAAAGGATCCTTGAAACCTAGAGCTTAACTGAATAGGACAAGACTCTTGCTATGTAAGGAGCAAATGCCTTGGGATTTCTAGAGTCACAATGGTGGGAGAATGGAATATGATAGAAAGACTGGAGATTCTTCAGTAAGAAAGAAGCTTGCAAAAATGAAAGCATGAAAGTTTACAGAAGATGAGTCATGTGAGAAGAGAAGACAGAACCAGAATAATAAATTTAATTCTTCTGGTATTTCTACTAGACAGTTGCTATTACTTCAGCTAGTTCAGCCATGAAGCATTCTGCCTGGTAGGTGTTGAGGTGTTGCACCCCAGAACTCAGCATGTGTTCATATGCTTACTGAGTTTCTCAGGCAGATTCTGTATTTTGCAATGACGTCTGAAGCAATGCTTGACTGCTACAGTTGTCCAGACTAGCTGATTTAAGGTGCTGATGTTAATGAGCTTATGGGCCCTGTCTCAGGCCAGGTAGGACTGGGGCAGAGGAAATCATGTATGGGTCTGAGTGGGAAAGGAACGAGTTCAGAGCAAGACGACTGGGGTGGGAAAGAGAGGAGAGGATTAGCATCCGCAACTTGTCAGGAAAAAAGTCGTTACTTTAGGCTTTTAATTGCAAGTGCTAATACACTTTTAATATTTTTTCTACTCAATTATTGGTTGCAGTTTCTAAATGAAAATAATTTAAATTTCAGACTAGCTTGCATATTTCTACATGATACTGCAGTGATTACAGTATAGGCCTACCCTTTTTTGTCCCTCCTTCATTTAATAAATATACAAAGGGTTTGAAAGGAGCTAATTACAAAAAGAAACAAGGAATCCTTTCTTCCTCAAAAGTCAAGCTTGTTCTTTGGTACATTTTTTAAACTCTAATTGGAAAACTAAAGGAGAGAGATTCTTCTAACCTCACAGCAGCCTCTGCTGGCTCTCACTGGGTTCAAGACTATCAAGGCTGGCTAAATTACCAAACCATAGACATAATCATAAAAGATCTTCTTTAGTCATGTGTACAACTTGTCAGTCAAGTTATCTGCCCAATACAATAGGATATAATCTCTGAGTATAGCTGAAACAGGACTGAATAAGGCTGTCTACACCTGTGTTGTCCCTAAAACAGGGTTCTTCACCTGGTGTGCAAAGCTAATCGACACACTGAGTCAAGATATTTGCTTTATTTCGATTCTGCAGAAACAGGTGCTAGGTGATAAATCGCAAATCCAGCACACCGTTAGCTCAAACAGCAGCAGTTTATATACAGTACAAATAACAGAGAAACAATATATGGTTGGTTACATGATTTTACATCACAGAAATCTTTGTACGCATGCTCCATCAATTACCTAATTCATTATACTAAGGTGGCCCTACATTTACATTTAAAATCTCCTCCTAGAGGTGTGTTTTTTAGTATTAAAATCACCATAGGTTATGTAGCGGACACCTCATATTTTTGATCTTTGTCCAAAACTGTCACTGGTTTATGTAAAGAAGCTATAACGAGGCATTATCTACAAGGGTTGACAGAATTTTACTGTCTTTAGATACTTCTCTTAATTATCGTGACTTGTTTCCAGTTATTTTAACCTCCAAGGTCATTCCATCCTTTAATCTTAGGGGTCTTCCATTCTTGCTATCCCAGTTTCAGACCAGTTCATTATATGCTTATTCAGCCTAAAAAGTTTTTACCTGTAAGTTGTTTTTTTTTTCTCTTTAACTCTATCCTTCCAACATCACCTGCATTTGTCATAAAACCTTGTCACTGATGATTTCTTATGTTGAATTTGGTATTTGCATCTAAATTAATATTTTTACCCCAAATGTAAAATTATTGAAAAGTATCCAATGGTAAATTACATCTTAAAAAATCCACTTTTTACTGCAAATCAAATAACAGCTTTTGGTTATTTGTCTCCATTGTGTATTTAATCTTATGCAAATTTGCTTCTAATTTTAGGTCCCAATCATGCAATGGGGTACATATGGAGGAAGTACAGAAGGAAGCTCTTTTTTTTTTTTCCCCCCCATCTTTTTTTCACCTGATAAGTAAAGGAAATGGTTTCCATAAGACTTCCATAAGGAAGAAAAAAGCACACTGGCTTTAAAAAACACAGCCAGATGAGCACACACAGCAGTTTCACCAGTGTTTTTTAAACACGATGGTCTAGAAACAAATTGTAGCTTAAGTCCTGGATTGGAATAGGATTTCTCTGCCCATGTCCTGTTTTTTTAGACTCCTTCCGAAATACCAGCTACTGGCCGCTACTTGAAACGGGATACTTGTCTGTAACTCTAACCTGTTATGGTGGTTCTTATGCATGGAATGCATTGCAATATCAGACCTTGTTACTACTTCTTAATTAAATTGAATTATTTGCTCAAAACAGAGCGTGTTAAAAAGAGAATATAGAACACTAACATTCATGCAGTGTTTCCCCAATGTCTTAAATTAGTGTCACAATAATAGCTCAGCTTTTTCGCTGCCTCTTGTTACCTGATACTAAATTCTCTAGATAACAACACATCAGACTTTTTATATTCACCAGCTGCTGAATATAAAAGCAGAGAAAACCAGGCTGTGATTGCCCAGCAGAGAAAAAATATGGTACAAAGGATGAAGGAATGACTGGGGGTTTTTTGTATGTTTTTTTTTTCTTTTTTGAAGTCTAAGGTATTTCTAATTGCATCTATTAAAAAGGTTGGGGAAAATGTGGTGGTGGAAACTAATGTACGTGGACTTTATTACACCCTTGGAAAAGAAGGCCTTTTTTCTGTGTCCCTGTTTACTTCACATTGCAGCTTTATGGGAGGGCAGTGGTATACAAGCAGGTTACCTTGTGCTGCTGGGGCACGCTAGCGACATCAACAGGTTTCACTATATTTCCAAGCCGGTCATGGGCTGGCAGTTGGTGGTCTACCACAGGTTCTGACATAATAGGTATTACATATATATAATTCCAATATCTACTTGTTAGAGTGCTTGATGGGCACAGAAAGTCACAACAATTTAATCATGCATAGTAAATTATGCCAAAAACAGCTGTGAACGGGTATTAGGCTCTTTCTCTCTTACAAGTGAAACGAGGATCTAAAACAATTAAAAGGTGCAATAAAGGTGTCTGCTTAATGACGCTTTGATGTTATTGAGTTTAAATTCCTTAAGTTTGGATTTCTTTGAATCACAAGTATCTGTAGCAATATCGTTGGTGGCTTTGCCGCGCCATCTGTAGCCTGACCACACTGCCCTGCTATCGCCCAGGCCGAGGGGCTGCACTTTGAGTGGACAAGCCGCCTGTCCTGCTCTGCCTGCCTTCCGCAGGGCCTAACGGGCCGGGCCCCCAACCGCCCGCACCGTCATCGCCCTTTAGTTACTCTGCTCTGCTAAAGAGCAAGAGCAATAGGCGCTGGGGTTCAGTGGCGAGAAGCCGAGTGCAGGGCGATGACTCTAGGGACACAGTCCACAGGCGCAAGCGGAGGGTGTCCGTCCTCGCCTCCCCTCAACGGTGTCAGCCCCCGGCGGGGCGTCACAGCAGCCACCGCCCGCGGCTTCCCACCCCCCTGCCCCCCGGAAGCTAATCGCGTTCTCCCTCCTAGCCGGGGAACTGGAGCAGCGGCGTCTCTTCCCTCACTTACTAGTCGCTCGTCATAGAGTGTCACGAAGGGACGGTGAGGGCCCAGATTGGTTGACGGGGAGAAGTGAGTCTGGCGTTGATTCGCTGGCTCCGCTCAATTGTTTTGACCCTTCTTTCAGTTCGTTTCCATGTGGTATATATAAGGTAATGCTTAATATTTTTATGTTTAGGCATTAATAATTGTCCTAACACAAGTTTTTCTTTCGATATGTTTCTTATTAATCTTGTTCTACTTTCAGATGTGGTGAAGAATCTGTCTTGTCACCTGTGTGGTATAGAGTGCCTTTAAAAATGGGGTTTGGAAGTGACCTGAAGTATTCTCATGATGCTTTATTAAAACTGCAAGACTGGGAACTACGACTACTGGAAACAGTGAAGAAATTTATGGTTATGCGTGTAAAAAGCGATAAGGAGTATGCTTCCACCTTACAGAATCTTTGTACTCAAATAGATAAAGAGGGTACTTGTCAACTGGATTATATCAGCAACGTGTCCAAGGTAAGAAAATCCTTAGAAATCAACAGGGGTGGATTTTTTTGTTAGTTTGTGTTTTTTGTCTGTTTTTTGTAAGTGACAAAGACCAGCAATTGTTTTTTTTCCAGTGACCTTCTAAAATGTATCACAATAAATATTTATTCTCTTGGCTGCTTTGTGAAGTGATTCTGTCTACTTTATTTACAGGAACATGGGAAAGATAGTGTATGTAATGATAACTGGCTTAGTTCAAAATAGTGCTTCTGTTTGATTCCTATTGATTCAGCCTCTTGAGAATTACTGTTGCCAAAGTGTTTAAAATAAGCTCCTTTTAGTCCCTCAGCGGAATATGCAAAAGTCAAGCTACAGTCTCACTTTAAGAACAATAAACTAAACCAGGATCCTGAACTTTGAACTTATGTATTTTAGGTTCCTGGGTTGTCTGCTATTTTGTTTAGCATACTCTGTTTTAAAAACATTACAGTAAGCTTTTCTTATAAAACAGTTAAATAGGAACTATTGTTTCTGTTATAGAATTTGTGACAGAAATAGAAAAATGCCAAGAAACCAAGGCAGAGCCTAGCATTCCAACTGTTATTCACACCATAGTATATTTTCGTGAAAACAAAGCATTAATTCAGGATGTTTCTCATAACTGTACACGTTTTTAACCATAATTTCATACCCGATTTAAAATAACTGTCTTGACTTTTTATGAAGGTAAGGCTGTCCTCCCCCTAAGTGATTAATCATCACATTTAGAGGAAGTGCAATGAAGGTAAAGATGACTGAAACTTCCCTATTTCACTTGTTAGTAAGCTTCACTCCTGACTTGGATTCCTTCCTGACTAGAGAAAATAATTCTGTTTTAATGGCTTATTCAATTCTTGGCCCTTTTGCTTTAGCAGGGGTTACACAGTCACTTCAGTGTGGCATAAATCCTGATCTCCTACTCTGCAGGAAAATATTTTTTTCAGTCAGGTTAAGTTTTAGACAAAGCAGTTCTTAGCTGGCTTATGGAGTTGCTGCCTGAACGCTAGGCTCTTATGTATGAGCATGACATGTAGTATATCGTGCTCATAGGAGAAGGAACAAAACTACTCCTTGTGCATCAGTCTAGATTTATACTGGATTAAAGTGGTGGTTTGTGTGATTTGAAAGCTACACAGGTATAACTAGCCTGTTTCAGCTGTCCCCAAAGTATAACCACATAGTGTTTAGCTTAAATTCCATCCCTCCCCAGTAATTATTGTATTTTTAAATTGATGCTCTGCCTTTTTTTCATATGTGGGTTTTAATGGTGTATTTTGGTGTATTTGGAATGCTTTTCACCCAGTTATGTTTTTCATGCACAGTTTATTATAAGTTTTATCATCTAAGCTGTGATGATTTTGGTAAACCGGTTCAAACATTTTCTGCTTAGTGGCAGAAGTCAGATATCTTCTTTGGGATACATCAGTATAAAATATATGGCATAGAAAACTCAACATTTCATATAGATTTATCGATGATATGATTAATAATTCTTGCTACTGCTGCCCCAGTAGAATTGCTCTTATGTGCTAGCAAAACTGTCTTGCAGTTATTTTAGGCAGTGAAACCAAGAGTGACTTAAGGCTAGAACAAAGGAGCATAGATATTATTCAGCATTGTATTCTTTAAGCTTTGTGTCTAGCTCAGTCTAGCACAACTTATGCCAGTAATATGGGTGTCTTTTTTTGTGAGAAAATAACAATTAAAAAAAAAAAAGTATATTAAGCCATTTTCTCTTTGGGTCGCAGAGAGGCATCTGTGTCATATTTTGAAAATTTGTTTTGGACACCAGCACCTAAGTTGTTTTTTCAGGAGTTATTTTAGCCCCCCTCCCCCATCTTCTGAGGAGGTACCATGTTCCTCAAACTGTACCCTTGATCTTTGTACATCTTTGCAAAATAGCAAAAATATTCATATGCTACTGGCAGATCTTTTGTATGGGCTTGCCTTGAAATGTCAGTCAACTTAGATTTTAAGGTTGTGTAGCAATACATTGTCTTGCTGATTTTTGGCAATTAAAATGTCTGAATTATTGTTTTGATTACTCTACTGACATCATTCTAATTTACTTTGCTATTTCATGATACCATTTCCTTAGAAGAGAGGTTTTACAGAACCAAAATCTGACCAAATATTTTGTGGCGTAAGTCTAGTATCTTACACTTTCTAACATTTGAAAAACTGTACATATATATTCAACTTTTGGTGTTATGTGACATCAAAAATAAATACCAAGATCTCTAATCTTTTATGCTTTTATTTCTTATTTTTACAGCAAGAGTGGGTAACTGGAGATGGGTTTTTTGAAAATGTGTCGTCTTTTTTTTTAATGAAGAGGCAGTAAGCTTGTTGGAAGGCACAGTGGCAGCATCTACTAATGCCAGAGGAGCAGTATTTTTAAGTGCTTTCCATAAGCTTTTTTCTGTGTGTATGTCTAAAAAACTCACCTGTTAAACTGAACAATATTTTATTTTGTTGCTTTTGACAAATTGTGGGTATTGTATTTATTTTTTTTTAAAGGTAATGCTTCGCCTTTTTTGCTATCTGTCCCTTAGCTAGTTGCTTTTTTTAAAATAGCTTTTGCTATTTAAAATTTAATTGTACAAAACGCTGAAATCTTGGTTTAACCAGTATTTTCTCAGTGTGGAGAGAGAAGTAAGGAATGGAGAATGTGCACATTAAATTTTTTTTTTTAATTGGAAAGACAATTTTTCACTATGTATATGACTTATTTGGGTTTATTTAGCAAATTGTAAGCTAAGTATTTCTTTAGAGTACCTGTTCTGTTGAAAAATGCATTTTCTGGGCTTTTCAGGATTGGTTGGAACTATTTGTTTAATCAATAATAAATCAGTCTAAGAGAAAATGCAAAACTCTTACAGTTCTACCTCTAGGAGCGCTCTCATGAACTCTTCTATAACCACAAGACTCATCCCTGTAATAAAGATGTTTAATGTTGTTTTTATCATACACAACTTTGAAATATGTCTTCGGATGTCATTTGGAAAGTGTTCTGTAGTGAAAGGATTAAACAGTTTTCAGATAAAGCCAGGAAGCTTTAGTCCCTGACCTTTTAGAACATTACTTTTTAAGCAGTCTGAGACAGCTCTGTGCCAGTCCATGGAATGTGTATGAGCTAAAGGAAATGTTAAAGATAGTTTAATAAGTATACAGGGATTATCTGTTTTTCATTTTATTCTCTAAAATCCCATGTGACTTTTAGCATAGTCATGCAGAGATGGAAATATATGTGATGGGTTGACCTCAGTCGGCAGCAAAGCGCAACAAAGCTGTTCACTTGCTCCCCCCACTCCCTGGGGATGGGGGAAGGGAACAAGAAGAGTAAAGGCAAGAAAACTTACCGGTTGAGATAAAGATAGTTTAATAAGCAAAGGAAAGAGAAAGGAGAAGGGGGGGGGAAGGCAGGCAAGTGATGCAAAGGCAATCACTCACCACCTCCCAAAAGCAGACCGATGTCCAGCCAGTCTCTGAGCAATGACTACCTTCCCAAAAATCCCCCTCCCCTCAGTTTTCATTGCTGAGCATCATGTTATATGGCATGTAATATCCCTCTGGTCAATTGGGTCAGCTGTCCTGGTTGTATCCCCTCCCAGCTTCTTGCATACTCCCGACCTACTTGCTGTGGGGGGACAGAGTGTGAAAGAGAGGCGGCCTTGATACTGTGCAAGCACTGTTCAGTGCTTGAAATAGCTTCAATAAAGTGCCTGAATAGTGCACTTGAAGCACTTGAAAGTGCTTCAATAGCTAAAACATTGGTGTGTTATCAACACCATCCTGGTCACAAATCTCAAACACAGCACCATATGGGGCTGCTATGAAGAAAGTTAACTTCATGCCAGCCAGACACAGTATAATACATGTTTATAATGAGACATAAGAAAACCCCAAACCTACCAAACAAATACATTTTCAAAGATTTGATGATTTAAGGTTAACTTGTATCTTTAGCACAAACAAGATTTTAAAAACAGCATATTGGCTGCCTTCAAAAACTGGTAATTGTATTGCAAATAGCCATTCTGCAATTTCAAATGCAGCATAGCAGTCTGTTAGTGAATTACCTCTTAGGAATCCAATACTGTTTCCATGAACAAAGTCTAACAGGATTCTTTAGGGTATGAAACATTTTCCTTTTATCTGAACCTTAATTTCAGGTCCGTATCTGTTGTGCATTGGGAATCTTTGTTCATGTTGCAGTTTGTTCTTTATGCAAGGTTCAAAGCCACAGTATATTTTGCTGTCCTGAAAACTGACTGGCAGAATGGCCAAGTGTCCTGGTTTCAGCTGGGATAGAATTAATTTTCTTCATAGAAGCTAGTGTGAAACTATGTTAAACCACGACACCAAGGAAGTTATTAAAGTAAGGGTACAGAAAGATGTTTAGTTACTGCGACAAATGAGTAATCTGTTAGCACTTTCTGTTTTGCCACTGATGGACTAAACACTGATGATATCAATTAATATGGAGCAGTTGATGAATAGTATCCTTTTAAACAATTACAACTCAAATGCATATTACTGTGAAATATTTAGATAAAGGCAGAAAAGTCAGCTTGAAGAGAGGAACTGTGGTTAGGAAAAAGGAAAACAAAGGACATGGGGACATGATTGTCAAAGGTGTTGAAGATGTAATCCAGAAAAGTCTGTACAGCTTTCATGGATGTTCAGAAGTACTAAAACACTGCTGAAATGTGACCATGCAATATTATGTTTTCGTCTCTGATACTTTTTTTATGAATAAGTTACAGGCATGGTTTTGCTGTGGCAGGAAAAACTTTTTTAGATGATCTCAAGATTCAGGTAACTTAAAATAAAATTACTAAATTGTTTTAAACAGTAATGCATTTTCCCCACAGTTCCTGTTCATAATTTGGTTATTTGTAAGCCAGAATAAGTAACTGCTTTTCTGCCTTTTTTTTTTTAATAGTCTTGGTTGCTCATGGTGCAGCAAACAGAACAGTTGAGTAAAATAATGAAGACACATGCAGAGGATCTTAATTCTGGGCCTTTGCATAGGCTTACAATGATGATCAAAGATAAGCAGCAAGTGAAGAAGAGTTACGTAGGTGTTCATCAACAAATTGAAGCAGAGATGTACAAGGTATTTATTCAACCATGTTTTATAGATTTATTATAGTTTTGTTTAAAAAATTAAGGGTGAATATTTTTAGTTCTGGTTCTGTGCTATGGTACAAGTGATGATCTGTGATATGTAGACTATGGGGTACAGTCCTTCAGGAATGGAATGCCCCAGTGTGGGTCCCCCACAGGCCACAGTTCTTGCCTGGAGCCTGCTCCAGTGTGGGTTCCTCTCTGGAGGCTGCAGCTTCCTTCAGGGTATATCTATCTTCTGCGGCATGGGGTCCTCCACAGGCTGTAGTGTGAATATCTGCTCTGACATGGTCCTCCATGGGCTGCAGGGGGACAGCCTGTGTCACCATGGTCTGATTCACCACAGGCTGCAGGGGAATCTCTGCTCTGGCACCTGGAGCACCTCCTCCCCCTCCTTCTTCACTGACCTTGGCATCTGCAGGTTTTTCTCTCACATTTTTTTCTCACTTCTCTCATAGCTGTCGTGCAGTGTTTTTTACCTTTTCTCAAATATGTTATCATAGAGGTGCTACCTGCATTGCGGATTGGCTCAGCTTTGGTCAGCAATGGGTCTCTTTTGGAACCAGCTGGGTCTGGCTCTGTTTGACTTGGGGGCGGCACCTGGTCTCTTCTCACAGAAGCTGCCTGTGCCACGTATACCCAATATATGGCGGGACAGAGGGGCTGTGCCACTGATCAAGGGATCTGTGAATGCACTTGTGAATAGTGTGGTGTGTGTGCTTTCACTGGTGACCTTCAGTCCTTACCAGCCGCAGGGGATGAAGGGCACTTGGTTGTCTACGCTTATGTTTTGTGCGAGTCCTGGCTGTGTATTGGGTTTGCGTAGCAAGGTTTTGGTA